CCCCCTCTGACCAAATGATATACATAAACTAATCTAAACTAAACTATAACTTGTTGAAAGTCAGCCTTCAGCTATTTAGAAAGGTCAGTGTGGTGGAAAATTATACTTCGTCTTCGAAAGTTTACAGGAAAGCTAAACTGCATGTGCATGACTTCGATCGCATATTAGATGTAATCGATCTTTTATTGACAGAACAATTATGCAGATATATATACAAGACATATATTCATAATTATTTCAAGATGTAATTTATTCAGCATAATACCTCCAACAACTCAGTATTTTACGGTTGTAGACGAATCGAACTATAGAAGCGGCAATTAGTATCCGAAACACTACCCGAAAACGGATTATTGTGGATATAGTCTAAATAGGTTAAAGACAATGCAATTCTAAAGATTTGTATAATGCAAATCATCAAAAATTTGTATAGATACTACCTGTTGCTAATTATTGGCTATAGCCTTCGCTTGGGTCATTGACTATTAACCCCGTCGCACACGAGAGCAACTTGCTGAGCTAACCGCCTCGCAAGGCAGCTAGCTCAGCTATGTATTTTCACCGCACACGTTGGGAAAACTACACAACAACAACATAAATGACAAAATCATTTGCATTTTCCTCCATTTTGTTCCAAGTCACATGAAGAAACAATGGTTTGTCATTGGCTAATTGATTCAAACAGCTCAGCACTTAGCTCACAACATTCGCAGACGCTGAGATTTTTTCCTCGCAAGGCGAAAAATATCAAACACGATAGATATTTTCCTCAAAGCCTCGAGAGGTCAAATCCTCACGAAAACTATCCGCACACGAGAGCAACTTGCTGAGCTAACCGCCTCGCGAGGCGGTTAGCTCAGCAAATTGCTCTCGTGTGCGGCGGGATTAAAGTGTGATTGCAGCGACCACATACCTCAAATACTTTAACCACTCAAATGAATAATGACTCGTATGACCATCTTCCCAATTAACTTCCAACTGATCATCCTCAGTATTCCAGACAGCCGACTCTGCTGTAATATCGAGATTCACTTCCTTCGGCGAATACATTGTACGTGATTTCCTTTCATCTGTATAACATGCTGGACAACGGCAATTCTCGCGAAGATAAACATTTGGAAATTCATCGACATTGCCGTCGTTCCACTTGATCACTAAGCACTCGTTCTCGTTCTTATAAACATTTTGAGCCGCATTGTATGAAGCCGACAATGTTAAACAGCGATGTGTGCTGTTATTTAACAAACGCCGCAGTTGAGCTCCAAGCAAACTGCGTGCTTTTACTCTTAGTGACAGCATGGTTATAATGAATTCGTTGTGTCCGCGGCTAATTTTTCACAATTCTCATCAAGTGGTAGCTATATAGTTTCGGCAAAAGAACCAGAATTGCACCCCACGCCACTTGAATTATCATTAAAAAACAAATATCAGAGTGCGGCTTAACCTGAAGTTCAGGCCCTAACTTTAAATAGGCCCTGACAGGCTGACACAAAACCTGTTTAGATAGTGGGACGCCCACATGTTATTTTTAGACACAGCATGCAATATGATTGACAAGTGTTGTAGATTTTGTTACACAAAAAATATA